AATTAACATGTCATTATCATCATTCTTATAAATTATGAGATATACTTGTTAAGATCGTGTTCTGATGTTGCACTTATTTACTATCTAGTAATCAAATTTCCAGAACTAGTCTGAAACGATTCTATTCAAATACTAAGTAATTATAAAAACAAAAATTATATTATGTATTTGTTTTGTTACACATTGAAAATTAATGATAATGTACTAAAATTGATTAGTAAATGTGATACAACTTATGTTTTTGTTTAGCAAAAACAAAATTATTTTTGCTTCATCAAACTGAATAATAGACCATTCACATTTTACGAATAACTAAAATACGAATGTTATGCAATAATGTAGTTTTACGAGTATTAAGCAAGTCCGGTTTGGCCACTAGATCATCCTCGATTTCATTATTAGTTAATCAGTTATTCGTTTTTTTTTTCAAAAATAATGTACAATGTTTACTCAAAATAATTTAGCGTATCTTCTGTATAATCATTGCAAGCCTAAAATCTAGTTAAAAAGACGTAAAAATTTAAGTTAGCATTTTTATTACTAAAAATATCTATTTCAAGTTTAAATTATTAATGTCTAAGAGTTATCCATTCTAATAACATGTCTTGTGTCTATTTTAAATATCAAAGTATCTTAATGCATTTTTTCTTTTATAATGATCCAATTAGTTAAAATTTACAAAATGATATTTTAAACTTAAATATATAAAAATGTATATTAAATATAGTATACTATATAATTGTATTTGTTATTAAATTGAAAAATTATAGTATACATGAATTGATTTATAATTTTTTCTAATTATTTATAAAAAATGGTATTTTTTTAAAAATAAATGCTATGTTTTTTTATTTCATTTTAAATTATAGAATTGAGGTAATCATAAAAATATAATAGCTTTCAAATTAACTTTAAAATTACACAGACCAAAACAGGATCGTATTTGTGAAAATTACCGCTTGTGGTGTTATAATCATTTTCTTTGGTCAAATATTTTCATTATGGTAATTTTTATTCAAATTATGATAAAATAAGCAATACTTTTTCCTTGATGAATAATTGATATAGAATAATTGATCCAATTAACCATTTCTTAAACATTTGTCTAAAGTGTATTTAAAATTTTTTTTAATGTGGCTTACTCCGTATTTTATTCTGCAGATGTATTATATTTTTCACAATGGGTGATTATTACATATCTTTGAAGAGACTGGACAAGTTTTTAATATTATGATTAGGAAAGTATTAAATTTTTAATAATTAAAAGTTAGCTCTAAAAGTAACTGTAAAGTAATTTTAGTTTTAAGCAATTCATTTTATAAGTATGATCACTCTTATTTATTTTAAGAAAAATGAGAATGCCTACGACAAATTTTGTAGACTGGAATTAATAATTTATGATAGTTTCAAAAAATAATAAATTTATTGAACCAATAATAAATTAAAAGTAATGACTTCATTAATAGAAGAGTTTCCTGGTTGATTATAATGTTATTATGTGCAGTAGTGTATCTAAATAGAATGAGGTAACACATATTACTATTAAAAATCCAATTTGTGAGAATAACTTAGCTATTAGTCTAAGATGCTTGATTTTAGATGAAGCACCTAATAATTTTAATTTTGTGTACTAAGTAACTGAAATCATAAAAAATTATGGGACTCCCTTATTAAAAAGAATTTTTGTGCATAATTTTATAAAATCCCTAAGGCCAATGTTTTATGGTTCTTTTGTACAATCTCCAAAAATGAAATAATTCTTCTAAAATTTGGGGATAGCAATGTAATTAATCTGGCAGAATTTTTTTAATATTAGAATAAAATTTAAAAAGTACTTTTTACAAACAAAAATTATAAAGACCTGTCAGATTGTAAAAATGATATCAAAAATCACTGATACAAGTGGAAAAACTGGTTTATAAATTTGCATAGTGCTAATTTTTCTTTAAAATTACATTATTATTTGTATTTCTACTCTACTTCACATTAATTTTAGTTACTTAAAAAGCAATAGAAGCTGTTTTGAAACTCAAAACATATTACATTTGTTAATTGCGATATTTAATGTCAAAAAAAATTTAATTCTTTTATGCTACTTATATTATTTTATATCAATGTGATAAAAAAATTGTAATTTAATTAGTATCAATTAACCCTTAAACAGTCGCGTGGGGGTCTAGCATAGCCCCCCATTAATAAAAACAGATGTATTATATTGCATAAAAGGTGTACGTAGATATCAATTTTGAAGATGGTTTTTATAGTAATATTGAATCGATTTTCATAAATAAATACCTTCGAAAAAAAAATGTATGACTTAAAATATTCATCAAATTTGAAATGGGTCATATTTACCCCCACACTAATTTTTTTTAGACTTGTATTTTTTTCAAAATATTGTTTTATCATAAATGCAATGTTATAATCGATATAATATTGTGGAATTGGAATTATGTGGATTTGCTACCAACTGTACAATAAAGTTTTAAAAATAAATAATTAATTGAGAATTTCCACTACTCGATGATACAGAACAAATATGAACAAAACATGCAATAAATACATCGCGTAAATGAAACAGTATGCAAAGATTGTTGGGAGAAAAATCAATGTTCAACAGATTTACAATAATTGTATATACTCGTATCATAATAATTAAATGTATTGTAATATTAATAATAAAAAAATTCAATTCAGAAAAATGATTATATAAGTTTAAATACACATAAAACTAATAAATATAAGTCGTGTTTGAGCTCAAAGAAATACAAGAAAAATTAATTAAAATACATTTTCCTATAGTAAAAGCTTTTGTTTTGCGTCTTAAAAATAAGATTTTGCAGTTAAAATAATTTTTTTACAAATAAAATTTTTTTAATAAAAATTTGAAAATTAAGTTTTTTTTTTTTCGTAATATAATTTTTAGTAATGCACATAATTTTGTAAATTAATTATTTTTAATTTTTATTATTGAATTTTTATCCATATTTATATATCATATGGTAACAAATAATGTCTTTGAATTAAAAAAAATGAACTTTTTTATACATATTTTATACTTTTCTAGAAATAGGGTCTGATAGACCCCCACACGACTATGAACGTTAAAAATAGGCACGCGCCTGCTAAAGGGTTAATAAACCACTATAAAGAGTCACAGGAAATTGTCTGCCTTTTAGATTTTTCATCTTGTTCCTAGGTAGAATTGAGATTAAATAATATTTTTTATTTTTATTAAAATAAATTTTTTTTTGTAAATTTGTGAAAAATTAAAAATAAATACTGTTATAAAAATGGCTATCATTAAATTTTTTTGCAAATTTAAAAGAAAATGTTTTTTAATAAATTAAAAAAATATTATTTCTGATAATTTTTCATTATCTTGTGTATAATAATTATTAAAAAAAAAACTGCCAAAGTAAATCAAAAGTTATTAGATTTCTTAACAAATTTTGGACCACTCTGTATGTTTTATTGGTAGTCTTACAAAACATTATATTTATAAAATATATTGAATTATGTTAGTAATGTAGGGGTTTTGCATTTTTTTATATTTTTCATTTGCACGCTGAACGCGTTTCTAACGCTTAGCGCGTGTAAAGAAAATAAAACTCATTTCTCACAATAGACAATGTAAATTTATGACCAACCAAGATAAAACAAGTAATTAAAACACACATAATTAGGTTATGTTAATATTCTTTATGTAAAATATTTAAATAAATTTTCAGTTATACAAAATAATACATTTACCAATTCAACATTATTTCACGTTACCTCAACAAAATTACTCACATAAGTATTTGACCTTTATTGGAAGAGTGCCATACTCAGAATTCCCTTACTTCTGTTACAGATAAACTCTTGAATTTAAAACATTATAATAAATCAGCTAGACTGTTTTGACTTGATATGAATTCCAAATTGAAACATGACATTTGTATTTCTTTTCATTTACTTTTTAATAGTTAAAAGTAATAAAATAAACCTGACATCATTTATTTTAATTTTATTGAGAAAATTGCAGTTAATTGTTAACCTTGGATATCTCATATAGTAAAAAGTAATCTGTATAATAGTATAAATGGAAGATGAAGAAAAAACTATTTAAATATCTTTTGTATTTAACATAAAAAATGTTTAAATCAACCAATCGAATTTGTGTTAATTTCTTTACTTACCATAAATATACTCAGTTAGATTATTGAACGGTTGAATATATGTAGAATATCTACATATATAACTACTAAATACTCTAACTGAATGAATAATTTTTACTTTGAGATATTACACAATTCCGATTGTATATTACTGATTTTTCAACTTATTAACTTTTTATTTATAAACTTATTTTTGTGTAAATAGCTCAACATAAGTATAATAGATTTATTGATATTGTTAACTGAAGATATAATAATTTTATTCTTTATTATTTAAAAGACAATTTATAAGTATTCATTTTTTTTAAACATTCGCAAATTAAAAGTTTATTCAAAATATTCATTGCACTAAAAAAAATTATTTTATTTAAATCTTGTTTAGTATCCTTATAGTATATCATATGGTTCACAAAGCTTTATAAATTCATAATTTAATAATATTACTATGATTAATTTTTTTTTTTCATTAATATTTTCAAAAATAGTAAACAAATTTTTTTTTAATTGAATAACTGAAACTATAATAAAGAAATGATTTTTTTAATATTTACTCAAAAGAAATAAAAAATTTTAAATTTAATGTAGCACATTGTATTTAACTTGATTTATACCTAAAATTAGAAAAACTTCTGGCTAGGAATATTTGTAAAATTTTATTGAATAAAAAAAAATAATTTTCATTAAAACGTGTAATTAAAAGTAATTTTACTTTCTTTATTCTTAAAATAAATATTTTCACCTTTCATCATTTACTTTTATAATTTATAAAATTGACTATTCTATTGCTTAGTTTTAACAATTGAAAAGTTCATAAAAATATTTGAATAAGATTAACGACTGTTTAATGGATACCATGATCTTTATTGAGAACAAAAAAACATTATGTAAAGAGTATATTTATACAGAAAGATAAATAAAAATTAATTTATTTACTAATGGTAAACAAGATTGGAAGGTGAAAAATGTGCTGTCATTTTAGTTTAATTTACTTTTTAATTGCTGATAATTTTGCGGCTTCTTCGTGTGCGTTAAACTCCAATGATTTTGCTATTTCAGCTGGAATGGTTGGGACAACATTTCCTTCAGCATGGTAGCCACTTTCATCGGCATAATATCTTACTTCAACTGGAGAGCCATCATCAGCAGTATAAGAATAAGAACCTTCAACTACTTGGGATGCTGCGTCGGTTCCAGCATTCTTTACATAACCTTGAGCTTGGTTTGAAATTCCATTTTCAGTTTCGTAACTAGAAATAATATTTTTTAGACCAGAATATAGAACAAATTATGCAAATTAAGACTAACCCATAGCTAAAAGTCCCGTCTAAGCTTGCCTCTTGCGATTGTCTTAGAATAGCTGGTTGTCTACCTTCGACAGGTTTGTAAGCAGGAGCGGCAATCGCAATTTGGGTTGGAATAGCTTTAGGTAACGGAGTTGCTGTAGCAATAATCGGAGTAAGTGAGGGTTCAAATCCTGGGTAGTAGCCACGGTTATAACCTTGATAACCTTAAAATGTAAAAATGAAGTGTTACTGTTAGTTATAAAAGTTTATTCCAAATAAATATACCTGGGTAATATCCTTTATACCCTACATATCCTGGATAGTATCCTTGGTAGCCTAAATTCCCATGAAAACCTGGGTAAAATCCACGATATCCAGTAAATCCTTGATAACCTGGATGGTAACCTAGGTTACCAGGATAGTATCCTTGGTTCCATGGGTTAATTCTATTATAGGCAAAAAGTTTATTTTCCTTTTCTCCAGCTGCAGCTACTGCAGCAATTACAGCTACTAATATCACCTATAAAAAACTAATTAATTTGGTTTATCCTAGTACAATTTAATAAGTGCAAAATTTTTCCGATGTTAATTTAGTATCATGCATTAATAATAGACCCTCTGAAAAAAAATGTATGAAATTGAATATCCAAATGATTAGATCGAGAAGTATATACAATGTTATAATCGATTTTCATTACTTGAATATCCGTCAAGATATTTTAATCCTTTGAATCTTTTTTAATATTTGATTACTCAGGTCTCTTTTGATTTTGAATACTATATTCATTTTAATATTCAATAAAAAAATTATTTAAGAGTTTACAAGGATATTATATTTATCTAAGGGTATTATATTAAAAATAATATGAGTATAAAGATTTCTTGATTTTCCAAAAGTTATCATATAAATTTTAGCTATTTTTCAATAGAGCAAAAACAAATGAAAAATTTCTATGATGTCATAAAGTAATAGACATTATTGAGATGAAAAACATACATTCCAGTTAAAATTTAATTGTAAATTATTGGCATGTGAAAGAAAACACCCTTATCTATATGTATAATAAAAAATACTAAAATCTCTTTTTAGTGACACTTTAGCATTTAACAAATTGAGCTCAGAATTTATTATTGGTAGGATTGACATTCTATCAACCAAAATTTATGAGCTTTTATAAAAACCTAGAGAATTTAATTCTTAATATCTGTTTAAAAAGATATTAAAAATCTGTGTTTTTATTATGAACAAATCAATTTGTCACTTAAATTATGACAATACATAAATAAAAATTAACAAAAAAAAAATAAACGATTTCAGTAATTCAACATTAATTGAATGTAATTTTATTTACCTAACATTAAAATATCTTATTTATTATTGTTGTAATAAGGATATTTTTCAAAAATCTCAATAGTTGTATACAGGCTAAGTCACAAAGATATAACTTATCCAATAACTTTTGATCTAATAATTTTACGTTACTCTTATTTTTGAATAACAATTAGATTTTCAGTCAACAATTTTAACATTATTTATAATATATTTTTTCAAAGTATGTAAAATAATTAAATTTTTAAATATTTATGAGAAAATTTGATACTAACATTTTTTTATTAATGTTTATAATTGAAAAGATAAAAGTAAATAAATGCTTTTCATGTTTGTCAAATATTAGTTGTAACCTTTAAATTTTCGGTAAAAAAAGTGAAAAGTTGTACTTCCGACAAAACGTTTAACTCATCATGAGTTAGTAATCTGGTTAATTACCTACATTTGTGAATCCATAAATGAATATTATTTTGTGTTGAATATTGTGTTAATACTTTAAATTTTATTATTAATTTAACGAGCCGACTTGTATCTGTTAATAATTACACGGTAGTAATTGAGAAGAACAATTATTACATATGTAAAAAGTATTGAAAAAGTACAAAGCCCTACATAAATTAAAAATATATTAATTATCATGCTAAAATTATAGTCTAACAATTATTTAAAAAAGAATTTAACGTAAAATATTTATTGGATCAAAAGATATTGTATTTGACTAACTTTGTGATTCACGCTGAATATAAAAATGAAATATTTTTTTGTAAAATTTTGAAAAATGAAAATATGCTGTATTTTTACAGAAACGATGATTTTTTTAATTAATTCTTAAAGAAAAACTTAAGTATTTCATTCTGGTGGATCATGTATAACTGTTCATTCAAAATATCAATAGTTTTATGGATTAATAACATTATAAAATTAAATAACAAGGTAATAAGAATTAAACTATTGAACTTTGAACTTGTAAACAATTTACATAAATTCTTTAATTGTTATAGTTGTATACTTTAGTAATCAAACTTATAGTGTTTTTAGTTTAATTTTCTAATTGTTCAAAATTTTTATACACCTTAGTTTTTTTTATTGAATATATAACTAGTCTAAACCAGTTTGTAGTAATTTGTTTCATGAGCAACAAACGTTTTAACACAACATGTATACATTTCTACCGTAAAATGTATGATGGCATTGTATTGAAAATACAAATTCAATGTATTGAAATCGCTTGTTACTCATATAAAAATCACTCAAAAAGGTTTTGGCCAATCTATATTGTCTATAAATGAAATATACTATAAAATATTTAATTTAACTTTAAGATTAAATGAAATGAATATATCATTATAATATGTTAAAATTAGTATTTTTATAAGTAAAGGTATTAATAATTGTAATGTATAATAAATAAAACATTATAATACTCTTAATATCGTTAGATATAGAGTGGATTTGTGACAATTAAATTTTGAAATTCGATATTGTTTATGTATTGTTTTACTTACTAAAATTTTCATCTTTGCTGTGTTTGTATCCTTTAAATATAATGTAGTTGGGTACAAACAACACAACTAAAAAAATTGGCTTTACAAGAAGGATTATATAGTGATGGTTTGGCGTAGGTTCAAACAACTACCTTGATCATGACATTTTAAAAATTTACTTATGCATCCTCAGAATAATTTATTATTTTTTTTTACTTTTGTTTTCAAGATACCTATATAAATATGAATGTAGATTTAGATCTAGATATATATTCTGACTGAAAAATACCGGTTTTTATACTTATATAATGTATTTATCGACATTTATACATATTTATCGGTTTAAACTCATGAATTTCGCACACAATGTTTCAGACAATATGTAAGTTACAGTTCTTACAGACACCTTAAAAATGTATAATATTAAAATAATGCTCAATTCTTTTTTATTTCCATTATTCTATTTTAAATTAAGATTAGAGAAAAAAATTATCCTCAAAATATAGAAATTTTAAAACATATCATGCAACGAAAAAAATATAGATTTAATAATAATTTAATTTAATTGATGGAAATAATGACATTTTCTATTTTTACAATTAATAATATGTGTTAATAAATTTAATATATTAATTTTGATAGAGGAAATTGTATGATGATATTCAGGAATAACAAAATATCTGATGGCATTTTTTTTTGGTTATCATTTTGATAAGTATCTCTTTTAATTAATGGGTAAAAAAAATTCATTTTGTGCAAAGAATACTTCAAATAAGTTTATTTTAACAATAAAATCTCGAAAAGGCATTTTCAAACCATTTTGATAATTGAAATTATTTAGACAAATTTTCAAAACAAAATTTTGAAAATTATTATCATATCAAATCTAATTCGACAATAAATACTTTAAAAATTTTAGAAATGAATGATTTTAATTATTTTTATAGATAAAGCTACTTTTTTATTTAATTAAGGGATTTGTTTTCAATTTTTGAGGGTAATATCTTCAGCTAAATACATTGTAATAATATGACGTATCGTTGAAAAAAGTAGGTTAAGGGTGGAGTTGGAAAAATAAATCGCAGCCACAAAAAAAAAAAAACGCATAGTAAAATAATATAAACATGAATAAGAAATTTCTTCTTACGAGGGGAGACTAGAGTGATTGGATCCTTGATATTTATTGAAGTTATTGAATCTAAATGAGATAAAAATCAAATGATTTGAAAATTTTTTTTTAACTCGAAAAAAATATTCAAAATATCAATTGCCACAGGCGAATTCAAACCTCGTGCCCTTAGCGTGAAAAACTCAAGAGTACTAATTCAGCAACTGTTCGTCGTTTTTGACAATTGATAAAATTGGCAATTGTAGCTAATTCAAATTTTAAAGTTACTTTTTCAACTTTAAAAAAACAAAAAAATTTAAATAAATTTAACTTCTTATGTTTTATGAACTTTATTCTATGTCAATTAAATTTTATAATATTCATAAAAGTTAGTATATTCCCCTTGTAAAAAATTTTAAAATAAAATACAAAACCCAAAATTTCAACACAAAAATAATATATTTTCGAATACAATAGCCATATACACCAAGAAGTATACACCCAAAGAAAAAAATCAATCAATTTTGATAGAGGAATTTTATTAAGGGTTTATGATAATGTTTTATAAATACGAACAACATATTTATTCTTATAAATAATTATTGTTCAAGACAAGAAAAAAAATTAGCATATTGATAAATATATCATAGATTCAATAGTAATGATATATTTATCAAATTGAACAATGAATTTATTAGATAGATCGAGGTTTTTCTCTGGGTGTATAATATAAGCTTTAATTTAAAGTGTCAATATTTCTGGAACATCTTTAAAAATTAAATTGAAAAAGCTTAACTCATGTGAAAAAATTGTTTTTTTGAATCCACTCTGTGGACAAGTTTAGAGTCTGATTTTCAAAAAAATGATATCTAATAAAAGGAAAACATTTAAGATTTTAATATAAAAAAAATTATTATAATTTGTTCATTTTTCAAAAAGTTATGGCAGTTTTCAGTATTAAAATATTTCATGTTAAATAGTTATTTTTATATAAAAATACGACGGCCATTTTCCTATAGAAGAAAAGATGACAAAACAAATTTTTTTTTTTTAACTATTAGTATTTATTATAAGCTTTAATTTGACATATATTTAAAGGACGCAGTATTTTTCGGAACTTTTTCAAAAGTTATACTTTTTATAAATATATTTCATGTTTAGAACCCCCTCTGTATAAAGGAAAATGGTCCAATTNGAACCCCCTCTGTATAAAAGAAAATGGTCCAATTTAAAAAAAAGTATGTCAAATGAAAGAAATATATATAATATATTTTTGTTGATACATACATTATTCAAAAAGTTATAGCAATTTAAAATCGAATATTTTAACACAAAAATAGCATTTTTTTAACTACAGCAGCCGTTTGCCCGTAGAAAATAAGGTGTCAGGACAAATTTTTTTTTCATTTTACAGTACATGGCATAAGCTTTTATTTGATATATGTTTTAAAGAAGCAGTATTTCCGAAACATTTTCAAAAGTTAAGTTGAAAAAATTTTGGAAAAAACCTTTGGAAAAAAAGTTGCTATTATGAATACTCCCTTTTCGGCAAGTTAAAGTTCAAATTAAAAAAAAAAACGAAATTTACCGATTTTAAAAATTGTAAGTGTTTGGGAGATTTTCCCCATTTATGGGGAACGAGGGAAATTTTTTTTAATTTTTAAGGGTAATGTCTTCAATTAGATACGATTTGTGATATTTTGACGTATCGTTGAAAGAAATCGGTCCAGTACCATGGACCAACCGGTAAGACCTGAGAAAAAGTGGCAAAAGACACATAAAAAAAAAACGCATCTTTGTAAAATTAATACCTTCTTAGCTTCGCATCGAAGCTAAAATTGAGACCTAAGAAAAATTAATGACAGACAAAAAATATCGACATAGTAAATTAATTAATGTAATATTCTAAAAAGCTAAAATGAAAAAATAAACACATCATGATAAAATAATACCTTCTAAATTTTGCATCGAAGATAAAATATTCAACAAAAATAATTGGAATAATATTCTTTGAAAAAAAAATTTTTTTTTTTGGTGATACGATATTTTAATTCTACACCGACGATATGATAATAAAGACATAAGATATGAGAGAGAGAAAAAATGCTACATTCTTTATTGTTTCTTTGGATCACATTTGCTCTTTTCAAGTAGTCATTAATTAGTGTCTCGTGTGCTTTGTATTACACGTAACTTACATTCAACATTAATAAATGCAGTTAAATTATGGCTAATATTTTGAAATACACGAAAATCAGAAATTTTAGATTAGGTCTTATCCATATTTTTATTAAATTTAACTTTTGTAATAGTGCAACACAAAAATGTTTCTCGATTAATTTTATTAGGGCTGTAAATCTGACAAGTTGTTTTTCGTAAAATACTGTGTAAAATTAGGGTTAAATAAAATTAATTTTTTCTTCTCAGACTTTATTAAGGGTGTCCATTTATATCAATGATATGATTATTAAAAGTTACACAAATTATTATATTTTAACGTTTAAGGCTTTAAACTCAATAATCCATACGCCACCAAAGTATAAATTTATGATTAAATTGAAAACTATTAGAATGTTAAAAATGCATCATCTAAACATGTGCATTGATTCATGACGTGTATCAGTAAAGTGTAAGTAGTTCATATTTTATTTATTGAGTTAATCTTTTTTTTTTGTCTATTCTAAGAAAATAGGAAATAATAAAGTTATACATCTTAACATGATATAAATAACAGTATTAAAAATTAGCAAAGAGCCAAATTCTATATTCATGGGAAATTCAAACAAATTTGATAAGTGACGATATAATGAAAAGAAAAAAATTGTTTATATCGTCAAAATTCATAATTTTGTTAATATAGTTTTCAATTAGTTTATGTCGATTTTTTTATGTATTTATAATAAATGTTGTTTAAAGTTAAACTCATATATTATAGAAAAGTGACAGCTCAATTTAATATATTAGACTTTTTAGATAATTAACTAATTATCCGCTACCAGAACCCGAAAAAAAATTATCGTAAGGTTGGTTAATAAACTAATTAATTATTATTGTTATTAAAATCTAAAAATAATAAAACAAAAAGTATAATTCTTCAAAAGTTATTCAAAAACTTTTTAATTCACCAATCGTTTTTTTGCATAAACTTTATTATATTTTTATGATTATAATGAAAAAACCCATAAATAAAGAACAAAGAAAAAACTATTTATTTCAGATATTAGTTAAATTATTTTTTCACATTAAAGATTTACAAATGACAATTTATAAAAGTATCATTGTATTTTTTCATACAGCATATTTATACATAATATTATACAAACAGATCTATTAACTAATGGTATATATGGTTAGAGAGTCAAATATCATTTATTCACTTTGATTTACTTCTTCTTGTTGGTTTGTGGGTTAACTACGTTGAATTCTAAAGATTTAGAGATTTCAGCTGGGTTGCTTGGAACAACATTTCCGGATGCATGAAATCCTGTGTCATCGGCGTAGTATTTTACTTCTACTGGAGTACCATCATTAGAAGTGTAAGCATATGAACCTTCAATTACTTGAGATTCGGCTTCAGTTCCAGCGTTTTTCACGTAGCCTTGAGCTTGGTTTACAATACCGTTTTCAGTTTGGAATCTAAAATATCATAACCACATATTATTACAGTTTTTATTTAATTACTCCAATAAATATACATTGAATTTATTTTAATATGTACTAACCCATATCTGAAGGAACCATCTAGGTTAGCTTCTTGGGACTGACTAAGAATAGCTGGTTGTCTACCTGTAACTGGAGCAACTGGAGTTGGTCCTGGGTAATAACCTCGGTTGTAACCTTTTAATCAAAAGTAATTTGAATATTTATTTGGTTTTATAATTATAGTATGCAAACTAGTATACATAATTATAAATCATCTAAAATACCTGGGTATCCTGAGTAGAATCCTTGATATCCTGGGTATCCAGAGTACCCTGGGTATCCAGAATGTCCTGGGTATCCAGAGTATCCTGGGTATCCAGAGTATCCTGGGTAGTAACTACGGTATCCTGGGTATCCAGTATACCCTGGGTGTCCAGCGTGTCCTGGGTAGTAACCATGGTGTCCTGGATATCCAGTGTAACCTAAGTTCCATGGATTAAGGCCATTGAAAGCTACAGGTTTGTTTTCTCCGGCTGCAAATACTGCTGCAATAACAGTTGTTAATATCACCTGAAAAATAAAAATATTAGTTTGTATACAATAATTTAGTCATTTAATATGTTTATTTTATTGATATTTGGGATATCTAAAAATATAATTTATCGTTTATTTATTACATAATTATAAAATGTATTATATAGTTAAAGCTTTTATCGTTTCTAGAGACATGATGGAAAAGTTTAACTATGAGTTCTAAATAAAAGACATATTTAAAACAAATAAAATTTGAAAATTTTGTTCGCACAAAAAAAAAACTTAGAAGTCAATCACTTGAATTTCTTTTAACTGCTAATTATTATTTAACTCATTCAATTTAATTTTTTTAATATATAGAATGTTATTAAAATTTTTTTAAGAACGCAAATTTTAGATTTCATTTGAACTTACAAAAAATTTCATTGTTTTGAGTTGAAGATACGAAATCTACGGTACTGAAAAGATTTGAATGAATGATTCAACTGAGGATTTTCAGTAGTTCAGGTAGGATTTTATACCAAAATTTTGGCGAGATATCAAGCTAATATCTTGATCTTGACATTTATGTCTAAAGTATCTTCTTTGTTGTGTATAAATTATACTTTTTATGTTCGAGTTTTCTAAGCAATTATGCAAATTTTCCGATATTGTTACTGAACGATGATATGACCGGTTTTTTTTTTTGCTATACATTACCAGACTACAAATTTAAACTGGTATTTAAGATAATACACCAAAGCATGAATATTGAAGTTAATATTTTAATAATTTAAAATACTATAATTCATTTGATTAAAAAACAGTTTAGAAGACATGATGAGCCACAAACTAATAATAGTTTCATTTAAAAAACAAAATTATATACAAATATAATAACAAAAATACATTAAAAAGCCTTCGAGGTAAGCATCTTAATCAAACAAATTAATATCAAAATCATTTAAATTTAATAAAATAATAAAATTTATTTAATGTGTGAAGTTTTTTAATCTAATTATTATTAGATAATTTTATTTAGCCAATTTGAGAATCACCGTGTATATTATAAGCATCAAAGGTATTTTATGAATTTTTAAAAAAATTTCAATAACATTCGTATTTCATTAACATTGAAAAATGGAATACAATTTAGGATGTTTTCACTACAAACGCAAATTTAAAATTATTGTTAATGTAATATTTAATATCGTAATATAATTGTAATTTAATAAAAAGAATATAATATAATTATCTAATTTAATACCAGAATATAATTACTGAAAAAAATCAAATGATATTTAAATATACTTTTAAAATTGTTTTTATTATTATTAACATACATATTTTAAAAATAAAGCAAAAAGAGGGAAAATTAAATTATAATCTAAAAATGGTTTGTGTTTTTAACTACCAATTTTAGGACTATTAAAAAACTATAAACGAATAAATAATTTTCAAAATAACAATGTTTACGTTTTTAATCCCTGAAAATAATTTTTCACTTAAGTCAATTTTATTTGCTATTTAATCTCAGTAATTATGTCGATGATTTTATCTGTATTGATAACACTAAATCAAAAATATTTGAACAAGGAAATTTACAGTATAGTGAAAAAAATAATTTTATAAAAAAACGTTTTGCTATCATCAATTAAATCGTATAAAAAATCGTTAACTTACACTTAATAATTTTCGTTTTGACAATAACCTTGGCAAAATAATATGTAAAATAAAATATAAATTGATATTTAAGCTGTAAAAGGAAGCATAGGAGTTGAGTGTATAAAATGAGAAAAAATAAGTTTTGGTTATATGAGGAGAGAGAAATCAAAAGAAAGGATATGAAAATGAACGATGAAGAAAGAAGAGAAAGGCCAAAAAAGATATAGTTTAATGTAATTAGGAGTAATATGAGGACTGCTGGTGAGTGTATAGATGATATGAGAGACCCGTGTCAAGTAGAGATTAAAAATACTGGTAGCTTGGTAGATACTAAGTAGTAGGGACTAAGATGAGGGAGAAGAAGAACATTTAAAATGTGTGACAAGTTGCTTTGAAAACTTAATTGTTTATATTTTAATAAATCAAAAATAATTAATATTAAATGATTTTAAACATTTTTATGTTTATTTTGTACAGGGTTATTAAAAGAACATGTTTTTAAAAATTTGTATTTACAATGTTCTTTTTTGTTTTAATCAATGTTTTCTTATCAAATTATTATATCAATGTTTTAAACGTAAAAACTTGTTTTATTTAACGTTTTAAACTCGTCAAAAACTATAAATGTCAGAATATTATTATTTAATAGTCAAGAATTGCAAAAATATTTTATTTATAGTGTTCTATCAACTTTTTCAGAAAAATACAAGACAGAAATTATAAAAGTAATAAGTGTAATAATCACAAACATTGACTAAGCTACAATGTTGGATTACATTATTATCATGGATTGTCTTCTTATATCAATATCATAGTGAGCATGCGTCAAGATGGATTATGTTTTACGATAACTTGTACATATATTCAGGGACGCCTTCACAAGAAATCTTTTTTTTATTTTAGAATATACGCAGAGTTATGAGCGTATACTCTTTAAATAGTACATCAGTATTACTTTTTTTAGGATATACGTTAATTTAAAAAATTGTTAGTATACTATCCAAAATGCAAGAACGCAAAACAGGAATGCACCGGTTATGAATAAAAGGTCTATGATTATGGTTATACTAATGTAAATAACTAAGGCGATGACATTGGAATAGTTCTAAGTCACAAAAAAAAAAAATTACTAAAGAAGAAAAAACTTTTATCTAAACCGCTTAACTCTATAACGAGCGTCTTTTCGTTTTTAACATTATTTTTATTTTTTACTACAATTTGACTTGATATTTCACCAGATTATTTACATATGTATTTACTACGTGATAATTCACTACTTTATATGCTAGTTAAATATGTATGTATGTTGCCATTAAAAAAAAATCAAGTTGACACTTTTATAAGTTATTAGGGATGATGCTAAAAACTGATCACAACTGATAAATTAAAAAATATATGTAATTCAAAAAAACTTTTTTTTCGATGTAGTCTTTATTTTGCAAGTAATTGAGTGAATTGTGATAAACGGATCACTCTAGATAATATTATAATATTCATAATTTCTATAAAATTGCGAATTTCGAAAACACTGTTACCATCATTAGCATTAACCACATAAAATTACCCATAAAAAAAAAATATATATAAAACCTATAGAAAAGCCATTTCATAAATATAAATGTCCAAGCCGAGATTGAATTATTATATATATCAATAAAAAGTAAACAATGATTTCATAAAATCAAATCTAAATTAAAATCTTTTTGTGAAACTTTCCAAAAAGATAAAAATTGATAATATTTTTTAATGTATATAATTTTTCAACTTCACGTTGCTTTAAAAATATATGCATCAAATGATTGATACTTTTTATAAAATTATGATTTAATTTGACTTTGTTATTTAATCTTTATCATAAAATATATTGTCAATCAAATATTTATTTTGTATCAGCAGGAAAAATGATATATATATTTCAGTAGTTTAATATATTTAATATTGAATTTTCATTCTATTTGTTAATGTTTATTTCATTTTTATTGTTTTACTAACTAAATAAATCTAAACATATAATAAATTAAGTATCCATTGGCAATCTGCAATATAAGAAGTTATAATTTTGTGTTTTTTTCTATGGAAGATAATTTTTTTAAATATAAATATTTCTGCATCTATTAAAATAATAAAAATTTTTCAATGACATTCTATAAATAAAATCAGATATTCAGACAGATATTTCTCTATTATAACGACATGGCATAATTTTTATCTGTATAATTATTAGTATAAATATACAAATATATTTTATTTGTATAATTATTAGATTCACTCATGATAGAGATTTGAACTGAAAATAGTATTAATTTTAAATTACACGGGTGTAATCAGGGATATATGTGTGTCATACCCCTCACGATAAATATAATTACATGGAGAAGATACAATTTATTTTTTGTTGGAGGAATTGAAAAAATTCCTTTTGTATATCTTCCAAGACGAAACTTTAATTTCGTCACTGTTAAATTAAGGACTCTCTATTTAACAAGTGTAGCAAATATAAAATTTTATTCAATATAATATTTATGGTAGGTTAAAAAAAAAAGTAACATTAAGTATGTAAAAATATAATTTATTATATTAAATTATTATTAAACTTGTTGTAATTTGCAAAGAGTAAATAATGATCTCAACTTATTTTTATTTATAATTAGGAGTTTTAAAGGTACGCCAAAAATAAAAAACCCAACCCAGCACAGGGGGGTCGCGGCACAGTGGTGACGTGGTATAGTTGGATCAAGTATAATGATATCTGACAGTGATTAAAATCACTATAAAAAAAAAAACGCTTCGATGCAAATCTTTAGATAGTGTTTAATTTTAAAAAATTGGTGGATTATTCCAAAAGCTTCATAAACTGCTAGTTCCTTATTAATATCCTGATTAAGATAAAGTATGTCGAATGAAAAAGGGATTATTAAAAAATAGTATTTCCCATAAAAAAATTATATTGATCAATACACTTTTCAATAAGTTATAGCATTATAAAGTTAAAAATGTAAAAAATAAAATTGAGAATTTTCACACAATAATAGCATTTGGTAGCCATTTTCACCGTGAAGACAAAATAAAGTCCGAAATTTTTTTTTTCCATAATAAAGTAGATTACATTAGCTTTAATTTAATATATATATAAAAGTGTCAGACTTTCCGGAACACTTTCAAAATTTAAGTTGAAAAAGTCAATTTTTTGTGAAAAAGTTGTCATTTTGAATCCCCCCCTGTAGGCAGGTAAAAAGTCAGATTTATAAAAAAAATATACCAAATGATAGGTAAAGACATCATGCATCTACAAAAAAAAGAATTATATTGATCCATACATCTTTCGAGAAGTTATAGCATTATAAAGTTAAAAATATAAAAAAGAATTTTTTTACAAAAATCGTATTTTTTTTATTAAGTTTAATGTCTGTTTTCACCATGAAGATAAAATAAAGTCCGAAATTTTTTTTTACCATTATAAAGTATATTACATTAGCTTTAATTTAAGATATATATAAAAGTGTCAGACTTTCCGGAACACTTTCAAAATTTAAGTTGAAAAAGTCAATTTTTTGTGAAAAAGTTGTCATTTTGAATCCCCCCCTGTAGGCAGGTAAAAAGTCAGATTTATAAAAAAAATATACCAAATGATAGGTAAAGACATCATGCATCTACAAAAAAAAAGAATTATATTGATCCATACATTTTTCAAAAAGTTATAGCATAATAAAGTTAAAAATGTAAAATACAAAATCGAAAATTTTCACACAAAAATAGCATTCGGTAGTCATTTTCACCCTGAAGATAAAATAAAGTCCGAAATTTTTTTTTTTTACAATAAAGTATATTACATTAGCTTTAATTTAAGATATATATAAAAGTGTCAGACCTTCCGGAATACTTTCAAAAGTTAAGTTGAAAAAATTAATTTT